CTTTGAAAGCCTACCCCAATTTTAATAATTGTTTCTCTAGAGTAGTCACCCCAAACAACTGAGTCCTGACCTTCTGTAAAACCAGCCTGTGGAAAGAGTTATTACAAAGAGAAAAAAAATTCACAGCATGTCTGATAATATTTTTTCTTCTGGAGAAAGTCTTAATTGTTTTATTTCAGCTAGAATAAAAGCAGTTTTTAATAAAAAAAAATTATTTTAGGGCCAAAATTATTAGCCCCTTGAAGCTATATTTTTTTCGATAATCAACAGAACAAGCCATCGTTACACAGAGACTTGCTCAATTGCCATTAACCTAAATACACCTTTAAATGTCACAACAGAATGTTAAACAGAAACTGGGGAAAAAATAAAGAGGGGGGCTAATAATTCTGACTTCATCTGTATATATATATATATATATATAATCTCACATTGTATATTGTTGTGCATTTTCAAACTGAATAATACACAGAACAAACCAAAATGTAAATGGCAGAGGTGAGCAAAAGTTTGGAGTCTCTTCCATTACAGTGTTAACTTAAGGGGATGTCCAGAAACATTTCAACTCATAAAAACCTTTTCTCTTCTTTCCAAGAACATTAAAAGATGCCCTTGCACTGTTCTCAGGACTATTTTTTAAAAGTGTAAAACGGATGAAAACTTGTGTGACCTTGTGCAGCGCTATTAAGAACAAGTTTACAGCTTTTACAGAGAGAATGCTTTATGTATTCTTTTTTCATCTTCTTCTACTTGACTTATACAGTATGTTGACTTATATGTGTTGACTTATATGCCTCTGAGATATGGCACTGAAACCTAATTTTTGCTTTTCCATTCAAGTAGCTATAAGCTATGCTTGCATAGCTTCCTGTACCATTATATATACAGGCCCTTTGGTTGTAGCTATTAAATAATGGTTTATTTTACTTTCAGAAGGACAGAAATCAATATCAGTTCAGGCTTATGATTTATGATTAATGCTGCAGGAAAATTACATCATGCTACTTAGTGACTGAGAACTAGAGTTGGGCAAGTTACTTTTAAAATGCAATATATATTAGTTACAGTAATTTGGTTCAAGCCCCAGCTGGATCAGTTGGCATTTCTGTGTGGAGTTTGTATGTTCTCCCCATGTTCGGGTGGGTTTCTTCCGGGTTCTCCAGTTTCCCCCACAGTCTAAAGACATGCAGTACAGGTGAATTGAATTAGCTAAATTGGCCATAGAGTATGTGTGCGAATGCTGGAGTGTATGGTTATTTCCCAGTGTTGGGTTGCGGCTGGAAGGGCATCTGCTGTGTAAAACATATGCTGGATAAGTTGGCGGTTTATTCCGCTGTGGCGACTCCAGACTAATAAAGGGACAAATCCGAAAAGAAAATGAATGAATGAATGAAATATATTACTGTCTCATCCATTCGTTTTCTTTTAAGAGTTAAAGCAGAAAAAAGCAGGATTTGACCACTGTATTTATCGGTTTATCAAATCTCAAGCCATCATCAAAGATAATACCCAGATTTTTTACCCAAGACTTCACAGAAAAGCTTCTTTTACCAAGCTTAACTGTAGGTGCCCTGGAAGAATTTGATAGACCGAACACAATTATTTCAGTTTTACTTTCATAAAAAATCTAGAATGTTCAAAGACAACCAGGCTTTCACATCCAAAAGACATAAGAGTCTCGACCCACTTGAACTCGGTTTTTGGGGCAGGTAAATTTGAGTGTCATCTGTTTTCTATAAATAAAACCCAGTGGAGGCATATATAAGGACAACAAGAATAGGGGTAAAATAGATCCCAGGGGAACCCCACATGACCAAAAATGCTGGCTCAGATGAATGTTCATCAATGATGACTAGAAAACTGTGATTGAAATCCAATCCAGGACACTTTCATTCATCCCTACACAATGCTCCAAGCGGGCCAGCAAGATGGCATGGTCTACTATGTCAAACTCAGCACTCAGATCTGGGAGCACAAGATCTTTAATTTCTTTCATGATTGCATTTGCCAAGGAGTAGGCTACAAACCACAGTGCCATGTGTGTGACGAGGTTTATAGTCTAACCAGAGCCATATCACCCTGCAACCCAAGAATGGTTACTCACTGAAGATAAGCAGGGCTGAGCCTGGTCAGTACCTGGATGGGAGGCCACATGGGAAAACTAGGTTGCTGTTGGAAATGGTGTTAGTGAGGCCAGCAGGGGGTGCTTAAACTGCTGTCTGTGCTGGCCCTTACCCATCATGGCCTCCCATCATTTCCATCCACTGAATTGGCTCTATCTCCTCCACCTATAGCTTGTTTGTTGTGAGAGCTCTGGCGCTGTTGCCCTGTGGCTGCCGTTGCATCATCCAAGTAGATGCAGCACACTGGTGGTGGTGTGGAGAGACCCCCTTCATGATTATGAAGCACTTTGGGTGTATGGACATGATATATAAATACACACACATATGACTCCAATGGAATGTTTTTTTGGATGAGCAATGGCGGCTCATGGAGCCTCCCAATAGTTCCCGGAAATTAGCAATTACAGCCGAGTTACAGCTGAAAATGTCTGGTGTGCATGTTTTAACGTTATCAATTATTTGAAGTAATTGCGAGGCACTTTCTGGAACTATTTGAGTCTACATTAATCTCATGCCGATTGAACATTTTGGACTTCTGATGAGTCTAACAAGTGTAGAAAACAGAGTTATCCTTGATTCTCTAGTAGTATGTTGTGTATGCTTTGCCTAAAGAGATGTTAAATCATTTACCTTACAGTCGTTCTTTACTATATATATTTTAATATTATATACTATATTTTGTATGCTATGTCAAATTATATGCTAACCGAAACTGGCCTTTGAGGAGATGTATTTGCATACTAATGAGGCAGTTTGCAGAAAGAGCTATCTTGGACAAGAACTATGCAGCAGAAAGAATAAAAATAACATGCGTCTCTCGCCTCTGATTTCCTGTGTAACCGTTTATGAAAACATATTGGAGCCTATGGAGATCTCTAAGCATGTGCATTTAACTGGTCCAGTTTTTCTGTGCAGAAAAGAGGACTGGAGGAACTAGAGATGGTGCAGAAAAGCTGACAGAGACAACCCGCCTTCTCCATCTTCTGTATATATAAACTGGGTCTTTAGTCTTAAGAAAACACTCGCAAAGCGCCTGGTGTGTTCTTTTGGATAGCATTGTATAACCAATAGGACACATTTGTGCCACCCAGGACCCTAATCGAATTATTCATTTGTATTTAATAAATTACTAATATTTTTAAATTGAGCTCCGCCTCCTGAGTTTGTATTGAACATGCATGGAATTAATTCGAAATTCCAACACAAGCACAAACATTTTGTTACAGGAATAAGTTATGACGTACAAGAGCTATGATGATTGGAGATGTTTTAATACTTTGCATGTGCTATTTTTTTCAGTGGCAAAAAGTGGTAAGTTATAATATAATAATAAATACCTTTAACTACATACAATAAAATACATTGTAACTTTTGTTATTGGGATTGTAAAAGGTATACAAAAAAACATTAGCATGTGGTTTATTAATGTTACAGCAAAAGGTAATAGGTAGTAAATACTACCAACACTACTGAAAGCCAAAGAATTCAGAAACAGTTGATTCATTATCTGGTGATATGTAGAGTTTACACAACAGTACTGTCTGGTTCTAGATTCCGATTGGCTGATAGCCGTGCAATATTCCCATAATAACAGCACTCGTACAGCCTCCTAACCCTTCTGTATTACTCCACATATATCAGTATTAATCACAGATCAATAGACTCTACACACTTTGACAAATATTGCTGCTGTTAGACAAAATAACATGCTGTTGAGGCTTTTTATAGGTGAGAATGCAGTTGTTTAGATTGCAACTATGCAGTTTATTTATAAGTACAGTGCCTATTACAAATATTTATAATTTCAAAGATACAGCATGTCGGCGGCCATCAGCCTGTCATACTGAGCAGAGCAAAGATGGTTGACGTTCTCATTCAAACACTAGCTCTAAAGTGACTTTGGTTGAGGTAGCAATGGTTTCTGCCATTTTGACCTCAGCTGCAGATGTGAATGAATGGGGGAAGAAAGTAGTTCCTCATATAAAAAGGGTTTTTAGACTCTCTGTGTTTGTTTTTCTTTTTTATATGTGTGATTATGCTGTCGAACTGTTGTATAAATGTAATATCACACTCGTAGCAGTGTTATATGGCTGTATGTCATCACAACGCATGCCTCATACCAGTGCCGATACAGCCATATCGCATAGCTACTCTTGTGATATTGCTCATGTAAATGTCAAAGGCAGGAGATGGAGGAAAAAAAGTATATGTAGTAAATACTGCCAACACTACTGAAAGCCTAAGAATGCACAAAGCTCAATACTATTATCTGGTAATATATAGAGTTGTATATGTCAAAGGCAGGGGATGGAGGGAAAAAAAAGTACAACATCTACTTTACAAACTGAAGAGGGGTTCTTTCATCACAATACACAGCAACTTCAAACAACCATCAAAGGAGATATGCTTTTTGCCCTCATAATGGTGTAGTTACATCATCCACCAGCAGGGGCTAACTGAACCACACTAACCAGGCAAACCTTGACCTGTTGATGGCATCCAGTCACTGTCCTACTCTATTCGTTTTAGAACTGGATTGCACAGGAAAACAATCTAATTCAACTGACTTGAACATCCAATGAGCACTTTTAACATTAAAAACAAACTTTCCACACAAATACAGTACCTGAATGAAAAAAACCCTCCAGCATACAAAACATTTCTCACGGGCAAGAGATCAGCTCAGAGAGAGACAGAGTTTTCCTCCTCTTAATGTTTTTGTAGGCATCACAATGTCGAGCTGAGGGGAGAAGGGGGAGGAGAGACAGACAGAGAGAGAGAGAGAGAGAGAGAGAGAGGGAGGGAGGGGAAGGAAGCAAATGAGAGGAGAAAGTGGAAGCAAGAGAGTGTCAGTGAAAGAAGGCAGTCTGACTGCACTGAAAAGGCGCTCGGCAAACAGCGCGCACTCATTGAGTCAGTTATATTCTGAACACGGACAGCTGGTGCATTTGAGCCCAAGAAAACAGTTTTCAGTGCTGAGAAACAGCAAAGAGACAGGCAAAAAAAAAAAGAGGAGGTGGAGTGAAAAGAAAAGAGGAGAGGTTCTTCGTGGAGAGATGGACTCAGATTCTGGGGAACAGAGTGAAGGAGAGCTCTCTCCAGGTAAGCTATCAGTCTTTCTCATACTCTGTTCCTCAAACTCTGTTTTCAGCTGTTGGCGGCGCAGGCGAGCACAGGCACGTGTGGCTTCTTTTCTCATTAACACATTAAACATTCATCATCATGCTCATCTTCGAGGGTTGTCTCTGACAGGGAGTTCATCCATCAGGTTCACATGTTGTCTCTTCAAGAGCTTTGTATTTGTGCTTCTTCTCTCTGAGGAAAAGTTAACCTGTGATATCTGAGCTGTCTGAATGCAAGGGCAGTGGAAAACTGAACCACGGCACTTTGATTTATGACTAGCAAGGTTCACCGACTTAAGAAACAAGCTGACAGACAAGCCTAAAACAATCTTGTGGTTACGACAAAGAATGTGTACGGATCTCACTGTTGGTAAAGAGTTGTTAAGGGAGACATGGGAAAGACTTGAGACAAATGAGGTCTCTTTAATGTCTCAGATGTTTAATCTAGACAGAATCTGCTCCTTTCTTTCTTATAGACACTATAAAGTGTCTCTTGTAGAGTTGCAAAAGTAATTTCAACAAACTCTGCACAGAATGATGCCAAAGACAATCTCAACTTCATATTTACATCAAATTCAATCTAGACCAAGTGATCTAAGCTTTAAAGAAGTAGTCTTACTGTGTCATGAATTATATGTTCATAAAGTAAGGTAGGTACAGTACTTATGGTGTTATGATCAGCTACCATTTTTCATTTTATTTGTATTTAGTGAAAAGTCCTCACACACAAAATCCCACAAACATCTTGAGCTGAAAAAGTTTTAACTAAAGAAACACTAGATTTTTATTTCCATTCAAATATTTTTTCACAAACAGCAAGTGTTCATTAAATCTGCTTCAAGGACTGTTCTAGAGTTTATGGAGTTATAGAGTAATATAATAGTCTCATTGATTGACCTTGGTTACCTTTACTTGGAATCATAGTTGACCAATTAAATCCTAGAAAGAATAGCTAACTAAATTCTTCAGGCTAAAAGTCATCATTTACTAACCTTATGTAAGTCCAGACATGAAGTGTGTGTGGGAAACACAAAAGGACGCGAGTATTGATTAAACAGGGTCTGTCCAATAAGTAATTGCAAATGTCTTCTATAAAACCTGTACACTTTATTACAAATCGTTTAAAGTTATATGCTTATTTTGTGAAAATTTTTTCATTGTTTACTTGAGTATCTCAATTAACTCTCATGATTTGTAACAAATCACAACACACCAACTATGAATATGAGATTGGAGAGCTGAGGGAAGATTATTCGTGAATGACAGCCTAAGGCAGGTTTATACTTTTGTGTTGAGTGATCGGCATGACCCACGGTGACTGCCTTGTGTGTAGCCTTGCAATTATATTTCTGCGTGCTGTTTGTGTTGCTCTGCAATAACACTTCTGTAATGCTAGCTGGCAGTCCCCTGACTGATATTTAGCTTTTTTTTTTTTTTTTTTTTAACACTTCCTTAATGTACAAGAAGCTTAAACTTGCTCATTCAGAGGAAGGAACCCACGGACATGCAACAACTTTAATCATAAGTAAAACACAAATTAAAAGTTTGCATCTGGAACTCCTTTATGGCAGGTGTCCTCAACCTTTTTATCACCACGGTTGACAATTTTACTGTGGACCGCCGAGGGGATGGGGGCATGAGGGGTGAAGGGGGTTGGTTTGTATGCTGCTTAGCGACCATTAACCGTTTTCTCAGAGGATGACATGCTGACAGAGCATTGCTGTCACTCTGATAGAAGTTTTATAATTACTAAGCACTGCAGTGCTTGGGTGTTCTGTGTAGGTCTGGGATAATTAGCCTACCGAAATGTTCATATTTCATACAAGCTAAGGCTGATTGGTCCGTTCTTGTCACGTGACTCACGGTTCGCTTATTCCATTCAATTAACTGAGTGCATCTGGAAGGCACAAATGCATAACACTGCATGAGCTTGCAAGCCACGCACCTCAACTGGAATAACGAACTTGCATGAACTCTGAAAAAGCGAACATTTGCTGTCTCTGGCAGTTGATCTTCTTGCACAGACTTCGTGGACTCACCTGATTTTTTGACAAATAGGTTGTGGATCCATTCCTTGGCAGTTTGCAGGTCCTTCACTGGGCCTTTTTCCCTTAGCAAAGAAACTTTCAAAAGAAGTTTCTCACTCATTTTTCTGCTTGTGGGTTAAATTTGGGCGCTCAAGTGACTGAGATGCATCTGAGAGAATACAATCATTTTTCAAAATAAAAGATTTTTCAAAATAAAAGATTGTTCAGATTCAGAAAATAAATAAAAGGGAAATAATTCATGATTTATTGCGCGGCTCTGTACCAATTGATCTACGGCCCAGTGATTAAGAACCACCACTTTGTGGGACTCGACACCCATAAATACTCGCTTCACCAAGCTCACAGCTCTCAGTACCACCCACATTTGTCACAGTTATCCAAGCCGACCAATCACAGAGCTTGCACTACGCGTTTTTGCATCATATAGTTACATTTTTTGAAAGGTGCAAGCCAGCGTCAGCCACGGCGAAGCTGCACTGGAGCATACGCATGCGCTTGACGCAAAAGAGCATTTTTAAACCTTTAAACTTCAGTCTGTTTCCACAACAAAAAATCCAGTGGAATCTCACAGCAATTCGTAACTCTTTTGTTTTAGTGGCTAATTCATCTTAATTTGTTTCTCATTTTCCAATGATGGTGGGTTTATGGCTGAGGTGTGCGCCATGCCTAATTTTCATAATCCATACATTTTCGCACAAATGAATTTATAAATGAATTTGAACGAATTAACCACTTTTCAAACAATGAATTAGGTACTTACATTACCTTACGAGAAGCTTAAAATATCAAATGACTTCATTTATAATCTTGTCTTTTATGTTTGAGAAAGAAATTCATTCAAGTTGGAAAAGACAGAGAAAATGATTTGGCAGAACTATTCCTTTAACTGCAGGACTCCCTCCATCCATTGCTGATGAGGCGTAAATGTGGTAATGTCAGTGTGCGTAAGTCATTACATTAGTGGGGCGTCTGACAGACTGTCTCAGTTTGGTATGTTTGTGCTCTGAGAGCTGCTCTGTATGGCTCTCTGAGGTAAAGTTTAAAGTCTTCGACTACTGTGAGGTTTGGCTGTAGATTTCTGGAGTTGTGGGCAGAAGATTGAGACACTCTTTCCCATTTCTGTTCTTCCATTGGCTGATCAACCTCTGCTCTATACTTTCTCTCTGTGTTTCTTCAAGTTTCAACCTCAGATGGCATGGCCACAGACCACCCAAATCCATTGGCAAAAAAAAAAAAAAAAAACTTGTCGGTTATAGCTCGATAGTCTACACTACTTAGGGGAATGGGAACACAGGTTTTAGATTTACCTTCGGTAACCTTCAAAGTGGACTGGAAAAGAACAGCAGTAATTTGCTACAAGATTAAAAAAAAATTGATATAACCCAGCATTCATTATAGTTAACTGCCCTTTTGACATTTTAAATCACAGTTCCAGAAGTTATAAAGCCCATTATAACTTTTAGCTGTAAAGGTCAAACAAGTTTATATCCATGTCATAGAATGACAATGCCTTCGAGGTGTTTCCTTTCCTATAGCCCTGGCTGTACTGTAGTAACCCCACAATCCTACATGGGACAAGCACTTTGGAGGATTGCTCTATTCATGTCATGTCAGATTTATCACTATTTTAAGATGACAACATCCAATAGTGCTCTTAGTGCAGTTCACGTCTACATTACTCAGAATTATGCATTTCTATAGCAACAGTATATATATATATATATATATATATATATATATATATATATATATATATATAAACACAGCATCTATATTAATTAATAACAGTCAAGTGGGACTGTGGTCACTTAGTTCGAGTCAAAGCTCCAAGAGGATTCTTAGTTTCTAAGCTATATTTATGAGCTCCATGAGGACATGAGCAAGATTGAATTTTGTAAAAAAAACATCTTTACAACAATATGGATGGATGAATAAACAGATTATTAAGTAAATATGGCTAACTGTCTAAGATAGAGGAGACATAAACAAAGATTTGAGTGCTGTAAAATTTAGTTCTAACCCTGCTTTAACATACTTACCTGCAGGTTTCCTGTAGATTATGTGGTGCAAGACACCTAATATAGTAATAATAATAATTCCTTACGTTTATATAGCACTTTTCTGGACACTTTAGGAGGGCTTTACACATCATTAGGGGGAATTTCTTCATGCAATCCAGAGTACAGCATCCACCTGGATGACGCGATAGCAGCCATATTGCGCCAGACCACACACCACGCACCAGGGGCCTCATGTAAGAAGACTTGCGTTGAATTCATACTAAAAAATTGTGTACGCACAAAGCTTTAAATGTGCGTACGCAGTAAAAAATTCAGATGTATGATATACTGCGTACCACGAATCCTACGCATAGTCTCTTTGTACATCCGAATTAACGTGAAAATGAGCACACGCGAACGAGCGCACGCAAACGAGCGCAAAACCCTCTCCCTGCCTCCTCTCCAGTATGAATATGCTAATGACTCTACTTTGGCAAAACCAAACAAAGAAGCAATGGCAAAAGCAAGAAAAAGGAGAAACTTTGAACAGAATGTGAATTGGAGGTGCGCTTATCGAAGGTAGACCGGAGTAAAACTGTGTTATTTGCAAGTTTGTCCTCCGGAATTAATAACAAAAGAAAAAAAATAGAGTGGGAGAGTTGACGCTGGTAGTGGGGTCTCGTTGGACGCCTCGTTGGAATAAGGTAATTAAGTGATAGCCGAGCAGACATCAGCAGCATGAGTAGCGTAGCTCTTAAAACGTATAACAACATGTTTTGACATCACTCATGAACCTGGTTTGAATCCAGCGTCGGATGAACTCATTTTTCTTTTTTCCCCATTACATATCAGATTTTGCCTACTCTTCATCACGAGGAAGACAAGTAGGAGTGAATAACAAGTGTGTGTATTATGTTAAGCACATTTGAGCA